ATATAATTTTAATCTATACCTTAGGTATGCTTAGTTAACGTTTGAAGAAACTTTACAAATGAAGACTTTCTACATGAATATTTCAATGCATGTTGCAAATAAATGTGTTATATAAGACACAATTCAGCTGCTTTTACTTTAGTCAAATATAACGCCTCAATGTAGGTTGTTAGAGAGAATTCCTATAGCCCTCATTAACTATGAGAGAGCTAAAATGTGCCATAAAAACCTAACGATGTATCATCTGCCAAATGTGTTTAGGTTTGTTTGCAACAGCAAGCACACAAGATTGAAGCAAGAGGACATGGAATTCCAGGGGGAATATCTCCCAGGAGAAAAAGTGAACCTAATATGTCTGATTTTATTTATCAAAACCTTTATAATGTCTCAAGTGCTTTAAAAATATTAACTCATTTAATATTCAAAACAACTCTATGAGAAGGCTATTATTGCTATCATTATCATTATTATTATCCTTAAATTATAGATGAGGAGACTAAGGCAAAGATAAATGATTCTTTCAGGTCTCACAGATAGTAAATGGCAGAAATTTATTCAAACCAAAACCAAGCAGGTCTGCTTTTTATTTATTTATCCCCCCCCAATTTTAATTCTCCCCCTTTTTTAATCCCCCCTCAAACTTCCACCCCTGACCTATGGACATGCTGTCTTCCCTTAAGAGCCAGATCGCTGAAGGCAGGGTGTCTCCTCCCACATGCTCCTGGTGTGCACCGGGGCCTGGCACACATGCGCAGTCGGAGAGCCTGGTGCACTCGGAGAGCCTGGCGCACCCAGCGCACTCGGGAGGCCTGGTGCACCCGGAGTATGGTCTGTGTCTCCGCCTGGGGTGCAAACCGAGGACCTTCTCTGTGTAAAGCAGACATGCTAACCACTACACTATGGGGCCACCCCCAGGTCTGCCTTTTCAACAGCATATTATGTCGCCCCTACTCACTGGGTGCCAAATTTTTTTCAAAATGATTTTACAATTCTATTTGAGATTTTGAAAAATATTAGTGAAATGTTTGTATATGTATATAAAAAATACTATATATAGCTTTAAGTAGCATATAAATGTGGTATAATAAAAAAATTAAAATATTTTTCACTATTTTAGAACAATATTTATATTGCATAATAATGTATACAGTGACTATTTAATCAAAATTTGTAATATACATGCATTAGGTGTTATCTAAGGGAATCATGCTGCAGGTGAGGTAAAGAGTAGGACTAAGCAAGTGTGCTAAATCCTTATCTAATGAGAAAATAATAAATATTTAAAATTTATAAGTCAAAAAGAAGACAAGCAAGAATATTAAAGTAACTACTAAAAGAAATTTATAATAGAGTTGAAAATAATAACCTCTTGGGAGTGAGACTTACACTGAAATGGGCGGGGTGGCAATTGCTACTTCATGATCAGTTTTCTAGTAGTTTTGACCTTTCAAATGAATTATTACTATATTTTAAATATATTATTATGGCAATTTTTAAACAATGTATATTAATATGTGTGTGTCAACTATATATTTTAGAGGATTTCCTTTATATTTCTAAATTATTTGACAGGGTTTAGTCAAAACAAGGCTGAAATCAATATATTAAAAGATATTTTTTCTCTTAACAAAATTCCGGTCAATTGTAGAAAACAAAATTCCTGGAAGCACCTAAGCAGTCCAATCATAGCTGACTAAAATAGATGTATCAGCCACATAGTCCAACAAATTTGAATCCTAATAGGGTTCTGTCATTTATACCCTCACACTTTGCCTTCTCTTTTAAAATGTCAATGATCTTCAGCAATGTAACAAGATAAACTCCTCAGTCTCAGACAATTTAGAAAAAAAATAACCTCTCTATTAATAGAAAGGAGAAGCAAGATAAGCAAAGAGGAAACAGTTCAAAAGAGGAACAGAGTTTAAAACAACAACAATAACAACACAACAACAATTTTATCCTACCAGGTTTCCAGAAGGAGTTTTCTCACGTAGGCCCAGGTACCGACTATCACATTCTCAGCGGAAAGGAATTTCCAGGCCTCATTTTTCTGATATTTAAAAAGAAAGAGTTTGAAGAGATGATTTGTAAGTTCTCCTTGAGCTTTAACTCTTTTTACTATGAAATTTTTCTACACTTTTCTAACGTGTTCACTTTCATTATTTTATTTGACGTTTAAATCACTTCCTAGCTGTCAGAGCAGGTGCATTGTGGGTAAACTTAGGCTCATAATGCTTAAATAGCCTGTGTAAGCTCAAACAACTAGTAAGTTGTCTAAGGAAAACTTTAATTCACATTTTTTTACCATGTATCTAAGGTTCTCCACTATGTTTCTATTTACATAGATATGCTGATCAAAAACTCACGACTATTATAGTAATATTTATGCCTTATGTATTTTATTTTTTCACTTATTCATTTAGTAAATATTTATTTACTTTTTTATTTGACTACTTACTATATCAAAAACTCCATGGACTTCTAAAATATCAATCTGTTATTAGAGAGACATTGCCAAAGCCACATCATTACACCCTACACCTCCTTTCTCCATTTTAGCAGAGTCAGATAAGACTGGGCAGTCTTTCATTATTTCTTAAAAAGCATAACAGATATTCTCACTACCATCTTAATTTAATTTATGGAACTTCCACTAAAGCAGTTCCAATGAAGAGTTTAAGTCTCCATTCTTCAGAAATCAGTAATCATAGAAAGGTAGATTAGATTGTTAAAAAAAAAAAAATCAAAATATAGATAAAGATTATACTAATGGTGGAAAATATCCTATGATTTTAGTCTGGAAATAATGTTACCAAAGCTGGTAAGCATTGTAGATGGTCATTTTTATTTATATCCTGTCTCTCAAGTTCCTTAAAATGTGATTGTTATCATATGCTCACAAAATGAGAAGGAGGAGTAAGAATGATTTCCAGATTTCTGGTTTAGGAGACTGAATAAGATGATAGTATGACTCAAAAATATAAAATGACAAGAGCAGTTACAAGTAAAGGGAGACAGTAAATTCTATTTTAGATATATGCCTCTGAGACATGCAAAGAAAATTTCTAGAAAGCAGGTATATATACACATTGGAGGGAAAGTCTTCTTCCAGAAGCTGATTGGTGAGAGATACTCAGGAGTTATTATAACAGAGGAAATAGTTAAAACCATGGAATAGCACAGGAAATATGTATACAGCAAAAAGAGCCCAGAACAGAGGGAAGAATCTCAAAAATCTTTAAATGTTAGAAACACTTCAAAAAATACTAGAGAAAACAGAGAGTTTCAAGATATAGACAGAGAGAAAAGGGGAGGAAAAATAAGGAAGAATGATGTCAGAGAAATTAAGAAACATTTAATTAAAGATGAGGGTCAGCATTCTCAAGAGTCACAAGTCAAGTAAGCTAAAAATTAATAGACTTCAACAGATTAGTAAATATTAAGATCATTGCTGATTTTGTCAGAGCAATTTTAGAGAAGCGGAGGGATGAGTAGCCATATTTTGGTGGGTAGATCATGGATGGAATGGTGAACAGGAAATGAAGAATAAAGGCAGCCAGTATACTATGCTAATGTTCCTACAATGAACATGTAAGAACATTTGTATAATAATATTAAGAAATAAGTGAAATAAGTTTTCCTAAAAAAGAAAATTAAGAAAAAGAGAGTTGCTGAAGGGAGAGCTGTGCAGATTTGAAGATCATCTGCTGTTTATATCCTGAGGGGTTAGAAAAAGAAGAAAGAAAAAAGAAAAGGATGCAATAGAGAGAAACATCATTGTGAGAAAGCAGATGTTTGATTTTTTTTCTTGAAATATAATATGAATGTATCTGTAAAGCTATGAAGAGATCACGTCTCAATCAGATCTCAGTCTATAAATGCTCCTAAACTTGAATTCATTTCCCAGTTGAGAATGTAGGGCTAATACTAAATAAAAGCTTACAATCCCATAATTGTTTATGACAAATCAGGGCCATTACTGTTTTGTGGATGACAAACTAAGCTCTAATCGACATGCCAATGTTTAGGAAGGAAGAGGCAGATGACTCAGAAACAGTCCTTTGAACCCAATACTCTCTCCTCTTCCCTGTGCTCTATCTTTGATAATTTTTATGTGAATAGTGTTAAATGAGTCATATAAATTAAGCTTCCTGATCCCAGAATAAGATAGATTTTGAAAAAACAAAATAATTACAATGAATAGAATAACATCAGAAAATAAGATTTCTTTTATTAGCGTCTTTCATCAGAAGGTATAACAAATTTTTTCCTCAATAAAAGAACTAGAAGACATTATCTTAGGCTTACGTGTTAAAAAAAAAAAAATAGCAGTGAGACAGAATGTCATGTATTGAATTAAATGCAAAATATTTATTATAGTGAGAAAAATCATTTAAAAAAGTATTTGGAATAAAACTGTCAGTAGGAAATAAAGATACAAAAAATATTTCTATAAAACTGAGTCTAACACTATCTTTATTGCCAACATCAGATATAGCTTTCCAGATTTCATTTTAATATTTTTCTATCTCTTTTTCCCTTAATCAAACAAAATATATCTAAATAGAATTCCTGAATCTGTTTTATATGAGAAAAAAAATAGTTCCATATAAATAGAAAACATTGACCTTTATTTCTTTGTATTCATTTTTTAAAAGATCTTCTAAAAAAAAATTTTTTTTAAAACTTCTTTTGTTACCTTTGAAACCAAAACTGCCTTAAGTTGCCTGCTAATAGATTAAATTTAGATATCAGTACATTACGAAATCTTTGAAACTGTGAATTTCAAAGTGAAAAATTGCCCTTTTCTTATAGGTTCTTGAGATTTAAGTCAGAACTTCCTGTGCTGTGCTGCCTAGGTACCGAAAAATGCAGTGGTTGTTGGAGGGGTTAAAGTTGGAACTACTGATGCATATATATTAGGGAGGATTCAAAAAACACAGCAGTGGAGCCTGGATCAATCCATTCCTGTGAATGAGCAGTGACCAATAGAGAGAGAAGAAGAAGATCCAAGAAGACTGAGGTAAGCAGGCTTCTGCAGCCCTGTCGAAGTGGAAAAAATAGATCAAAAGTTGTTCATGGTGACTGGTCAAAGTAGGTTTTATTTTTTTCTCATAGGAAGCTTGACAGCATAAAATAAAAACAAATTTCTTTAGTCAAAGTTTTTTTTCTTTTTCTTTAACTTACTGTTAGCAAACTTCAGACCCAGACACAAGACTCAACGGTATATTCCTGGACAGCAAGGTAAATTATTTTTCACTTTTTAAAAAGCTAAGAATTCAAAGTTGATTCATCTGAAGCAGGGTTACTGCTTCAATAATTAAAACAAAAACAAATTCTTCTGAAAAAAGAAAAAAGAATATTTTAATGTGTCTCTGTTGGAAGACAACCAGAGCAGCATTCTGCAGTTGCAGGAAATTTGACAGCTTGCGGAAACAGTTCTGCACTTGTCATTTCCCCCAATTTAGTGGCATATTGAGAGATCAGCATTTCATAAATGATATGGATTTTATTGTTTTCCTAAGGAATCTGTAAAATTTAATCAGTCTCCATTATCAAGCAATTGAACTAAATATGTATTTGTTGAATATTAGTTTTATATATGTATATATTATATATATATATACACATATATACATATATATGTATAAACATGTTCTTTGTTTTGTTTTGTTTTGTTTCTTATCAACCATAGTAAGGCCATCGTTGAATACATTATTTACCTAATTGCTACATATATATATGTATGTATATATACACATAAATATATATGTATTTTTTTCTGTTAAAATAGTTTGTTGTATCCATAGTCTTGATATTCAATGAGAAAGGTTCATGTTTTTTAGATGTATTATTTATCAGTAAGTGTTAATCTATTCTTTATTAGCAGCCATACCGAAAATATGGAGCTCTACCTGCATTCTAAACATGTTCCTTGTTTTGTTTTGTTTCTTATCAACCATAGTAAGGCCATAGTTGAATACATTATTTACCTAATTGCTACATACGTATAAAGTTCATAATCTAAATTTCTTGGCTGAACAACTTGACTTTATACTTATAATATTAGAAGTGTCTCCCCGCACTCCCAAATAAAACTTACCTGAGAAGTTGAGCAACAGAGTAAGAGATTAATCACACATTTTTCTTCAGATCTTAAAGCCTTCCTCACAACAACCTGCTAAAAAGTTCTTTGATCACTCTTTCTTTGGTTCAAAGGCCAAACAGCCTGGGAAATCTCATCCAGATGTTCTGCTCATTTAAGAGTAAAAGTAAAAGCATATGCCTACTTCCTAGGAACAACATGGATTTTTGAATTATTTAAAAGTCACTTTTTTGTATTCTTGTATTCAACTCCAGGTTTCAGTTAATTTTCTTGCATTAAATAGCTTGATATGGAAAAGCATTCAGAGCTCCTAAAATTTGCTTTCCAGTTTTCAGTTTTCATTGTATTTAGGTTAAAACCTGAAAGCTTCAAATTGCTGAGTAAGTTTCAGTGTTCCCAAATGCTTCGCATATTGTGCCTACTAAATAAATGGATATTAAGTGATAGCTATATATGAAATATTGATATGTATTTACCTTTCCCTCAAAGAAGCAATATTTACTGATCACTTTGGTGCATATAATTCTCTAAATATCAAGATCTTCAATATCTAACAGTTGTATCCCTTATTCTAGATACTATAATGGCAACCACAATCTGTTTCATCATTTGGGCGGTATTCATAACAGATTCTGTATGGACTCGAACTGTGAGACAGGTCTATGAGGTACATGATCTAGAGGATTGGACTGCGCAAGACTTAGATTGTCCTAGGGAATGTTTCTGTCCCCCCAGTTTTCCTACTGCTTTATACTGTGAAAATCGAGGTCTCAAAGAAATCCCTGCTATTCCTTCAAGGATCTGGTATCTTTATCTTGAAAACAACCTGATAGAAACCATTCCTGAGAAGCCATTTGAGAATGCTACCCAACTGAGATGGATCAATCTAAACAAGAACAAAATAACCAATTATGGAATTGAAAAAGGAGCCCTGAGCCAACTAAAGAAGCTACTTTTCTTATTTTTGGAAGATAATGAGCTAGAGGAGGTACCTTCTCCCTTGCCAAGAAGTTTAGAACAATTACAATTAGCTAGAAACAAGGTATCCAGAATTCCTCAAGGGACCTTCAGCAATCTGGAGAACCTAACCCTTCTTGACCTACAACACAATAAACTATTAGACAATGCCTTTCAAAGAGACACCTTTAAGGGACTTAAGAACCTCATGCAGTTAAATATGGCCAAGAATGCCCTGAGGAATATGCCACCAAGATTACCAGCCAATACAATGCAACTGTTTTTAGACAACAATTCCATTGAAGGAATACCAGAAAATTATTTTAATGTAATTCCTAAAGTGGCCTTCTTGAGACTAAACCACAATAAATTATCAGATGCAGGTCTCCCTTCAAGTGGTTTTGACGTATCATCAATTTTAGACCTTCAGCTCTCTCACAATCAACTCACGAAGGTCCCCCGAATCAATGCTCATCTGCAACACCTTCACCTTGATCATAACAAAATTAAAAGTAAGTAACTGTCAGGGTGTGTCTTTGACCAAAATATTTATGATCATTACATTCATTTTATATCTTCTTTAAGAACAGCAATTCTGTTTTTTCTCCCCAACTAATATGCCCTTAGATTTTTCAAAGTGTATTTTCAATTTTCAGTATTACGTTTTATCTATTTACAGATAATCTTGATGAATCAAGAGGTTCCAATCATCAAATTGCAGATTGAAAAGTGGACTTTAGTAATCCACAGAGGGGTTCTTGGAGGGACTGAATGTTTTTATCTTCTTTAACTCTGAGGAGTTTCCAACATTTCTGCCTCACTGGGTAGATTTATTTGAGGTGTTCCAGGCACAAACAACCCCATGAATAGTAACAAAAGTAATATAATTTAGAAGGTATCAAGAAGACACATTTGTCCTCAAAACTACAGTACAACTAATTTCTAAAATCATCCTAATTAGAGGTTCTGCTTTAAGTCAGTGGGTTTCTCAAATTTTAGTGTGCACAGACTGGTGGCTCCAACTCAGTTTCTAATTGAATCAGTCCAGGTGAAACCAGAGACTTTTCATGATGATGCTGAGACTGCTGTTCTGGGGACCATGCATTGGGAACTAACACTGTAGTTTAAATTTTTGCTCAACTTAAATGGAAACAAATGCCTTGGGAATTTGGAAACTCCTTAAAACTAATGGCAATCAACAAGATAGAATGCCTTCACCTTCTTTGAAAATAGCTTCCAATAAGGGAGAGTAAGACGAGTGTGAAGTGCCTTGGAGGCAAAGATGCCTTCAAGGGAAGATGTAGTTATAGAAAGAAGAGGCTGGAGACATTAAAGGCAAACTTAGCACCTTCACAATTTTGCCTGAGACCAGGCTGACCCTGGTATAGAAGTGGGCAACGTCTTGGTGCAGCCACAGGGATATTGGTATCAGCTTGTCACCTATCCATCCATCCTCAATTCCAACACAAGACCTTTAGGAAGGTAATCTTAAAGAGACTTCTCCTGGGCAGCCTCAGAAAATACATTCCAAAAGTGAGAATATGTCAGATGGTTTGTAAGACAATAGCACAGATAATTGTCATAGGGTTGTACTCCCAATTATTATTCACTAAATTTTTCTTTACATATATAATCACATAAACATCCCATTTATGAGAATACACAATTTTCTACTTCATAATTCTCAGTTATTCAAGATTTGTTTGACCTTTCTAACAGCGTACTTGAGCATAAAATCTTGGAAGTAATAAGCAGGTTGCTGACGCAGCAGTTATTTTTCCGTGGTGATGAGACATTTTTTGTTTGTTTGTTTGTTTTATCCTGCAGTCAAAAGCAAAAGACGCAACAGAAAAAAAATGTTAATAGCTGAATATGTTTCACTGAACCAAATAGTACAATAGCCAATATTGACCTAAGTATATGCAATATTTTCCCGATGAAAATTCTGTGCTTTTACAGGTATATTTCTCATCTGACAACAATGACCACATAAATATTTGATGTAGGAAGTTAATTTAAAGTGATCCCATATAGATTTCTGTTTGTAAATTAGGAATTCCCCTAAGAATTTGACAATGAGGGTGTTTAGGAGTGAAGCTGCAAATTTCAACACCAAGTGGGCATATATGCTGGGCACTTACATCATTATACAAAGTTACACAAAGAAAGATAGAACTCTGTACTTTTTTAACTCATGTTTTGGAGTTTTTTCAAAGTGTTCCCTCATATGCTTTTATTTTTAGTTGTTTTCAGACTTTAGGATGCATCAAAATCACCTGGAGGTCAGAGGTGGGGCCAACCATCTTGTTCTCAGGTAGAGGGTTGATACTGCTGGTCCAAGGACCACAGTTTGAGAACCACAAATTATCTTCAAAAGATAAATCTATCTGCTTCTTAATGTGGATATCAAGCTCGATCATTTGTATATTCCAAGAAAATAAATTTAAAATAAGTATTTCTCTGGCTAGAATTATTGGCTCACCATTATATCACACTGTGTTATAACTGTTAAAGTACTTGTTCTTCTGGCCACAAAATCTACTCTAGTTGTTAATAAAGTGGTTTCCAAGAAATGAACCTTTTATAGGAAGAGTTCTCAGAATTTACAAGGCAGTAAATCTTTCTTATGCAAAATTGTGGCAACACATTTATTTCTTCTGAACACCTTAAGGAACTTTAAATTTGGCAAAATGGTATGTATTCAAATAATTTACTTCTAGGTAGCCTCTCAGAAACACCATAATTAATTTATAAACATATAAATTTAGAACGTGTTTTTTACATTCCTTTTGTTGCACATTCATTGATTATGGGGGCATTAGGGTGATAAGAATAAGGAGATAGCACATAAAAGGGACATAATCTCTCGAGGGTCCCTTGCCTCCTGAAGAGATCGTGCAGTAGAAAAAGGACAGGCTAGGCTCCAGCTCTGCCCTCATTTGCTGAAATGTCTTGTGTGCATTACTCTATCTCTTTAAACCACTATTCCCACAATACCAAGGTGGGGAGATTAATAATATTACCTGATAAAGTCTGTAGAATGATAAGGTGGTGATGTATGTGGAAAAAAGAAAACTTTATTTAAACAACTGTTAACAAATATGAGTCATTATTTTTAGCTAGTGCAACTCACAAAATGATATAAGATCATAGCAAAACAACATCACTGAAAGCATAAAATCTATCAATTCAATATAAATCTGTATGTGGCAACAAGATGCAAAGAAGGCCATTACCCAAGTTAGGTGGGTCTCATCTTCTAAGGAAGATCTCTTGCTCGAAATAGTTTCAAAATGGATTTTAAAAGCATTATTCGAATTCATGGTTGAGATCATCTATTATGCACATGTCTCTGAATTTTGCTAGTTTAATAGGCCGTCTCTCCTCAATGCTCCTAAACCTCAATATAATCATTGATGTCAAGGGCTCTGATCCAAGGCAAGTGCACTATTTCTCACATCCTAACCATCTGAAAGGGCTGATGGGATATTTCCTGGCTTGAATTCTTTGTAATTTGATTCTTGGCAAATGTTTCCTTTCCAATTAAATACACTTAAGTATGAAGATCAAGGTTATTTTCAATAAGTATTACATATGTACATTTATGTTAATTGTACTTAAACAAAACTTGTCATACACTAGTAATTTGAAATTTGGCATTTTTAAGATAATTTTCAAGTGCTTTCTCTAATAGACTGATTTTCCACCTACACATCCATCTATTCATCCCTCTACTCACGATCCACCTATTCTTTCAGAACCTGTGCTGAACCATTTTCTCCACCTCTAATGCCCTAAATCTTACATGTCTCATTCCATAGTAATCTAAGCATGCCTTATCTCATTCTGTTTCAATCACAGCTTTTAAAAATGTTTCCTTCCTTGTGTTCTCTACTAAGTATAGCAGAATATGGAGTACGAAGACTATACATGGTGCCATTTTTTCTGGATTATTTTTATAAAATGAATATGAACAACCTCTAACTTAACAAAAAAATGGTTTGCATCTCTGCCATTTCTGTAGATCATAAGACTGGCCCTCCATAAGGCTGTTGTAATAGATTTTTGGTCTTTCCTCCTCTAGTCTCTTGTGTTCCAATTCATTCATTCATGCTATCTTTGTGTCCCTAGATGTGAACGTCTCTGTAATATGTCCTACCCCTACCACACGGCCTGCAGACCAGGATTCCTTCAGTTATGGACCTCATCTGAGCTACCTCCGTCTGGATGGAAATGAAATCAAACCACCAATCCCAATGGATTTAATGACCTGCTTCAGGCTTCTTCAGACTGTCATTATTTAAATACATCTTCAACAATCTAAAATTAGTTTAATAAGCTAATATTTCTGATATGAAATTTGGATAACATTCATAGGTTTAAGACAAAAGTCACATTTCCAGTTGCTCTTGACCATCATTTTCATCTGTGCAGCTAATTTTTTCTACTCAAAGATGCTTTCACTAATAATATGTAGAACAGCCTACTTTTTCAAAATAAATAAAACAGACACAGAGTGAAGATAGTTTATCAACTCAAAGATAGTTCTTTTTTGTCTCTTTCACAACTTATTAATACCAAATAATGCAATTGCATTGTTATGCTATAGGAAGGACATATTTGTTTGCATATATTCAAAATTGCTTATGCAGATACTATATTTTCAGTATAAATACAATAACCTAACAGGAAATAGATCCAAATAAAAATTTTAAAATGAGATATGGCTTTATCATAATTATAAAGAAGTAATTAAATTCAGATAGCTAAGTAGCTTTTGTAGGTACTAGTATTTTACTCAAGAATGAGTATTAAGTTCATCTAATACTTCATAAAATGAGAGCTTTAGTCATTTAATGCCAAATAACAAAGAAACAGTCTACTATTACAATAGCCACTACTATTTTCCATAGCTGCTGTTCTTAGATGCAGCACAGTATATTCCAGCAATTAAAGTCCTAAGTTTTACAGTTATTATAACACACTTCTGACAGAATCTTAATGTTTTAACAGTTGAAATCCACTTGAATTTCAGTGTTCAACTCATATATTTATCAGTGTTTTTTGGATTTTTTAAAAATAAAATGAGTGAATGATTTTTAACAAAACAGAAGTAAAATATTTATTTCGAGGGCATTATTCACAAGTTTTATTAAAAACATATTTTAACAAAAAGTGTTACAGTAACAATTATTTCCATTTTTCTAGCATGAATATATGTAAATATATTTTCCCACTTTGTTTTTCTTTTTCTTCCAGTAAACATAAGAAGAAATTCATACTCTCTCTGACACAACACACCTGCTTCTCATGCATTAAAAAATAACCCAGAATTTGGTTAAGTAACAGAGTATATAGTTTACTTTAGACTTCTGATTTTGTAAGATATATGCTATAAATAATAAATATTCCATAGAAATTAATGCATGCCTTTTTATATTTTTCAAACAGTATTCTGAAAAATTCTATAAAATTTGATATATTTCCCTAGAAAAAGGACTGTGTATATTTGTGAAACATCAGATTAAAGAAAGTCCAACATGTTACTTCACTCCAAGACATCTCAGAAACTTAATATGTTATTCTCTCAAAAAGAGAATATAATGTGCAGTATTTTCTACTTATTTTAACATCAAAACTTATTTGGAGTGGGAGAAAAGAACCCACTAACATACTTTAAACATAGTTTTTAAAGTATTGGATAAAAGCAAGAAATTAAATTAATTAAAATTAAGAAAATACTTTTTAAAAAGATGTCAAAGCACATAAATAAAATTATGTTATGAAAAATACAAGTTATGAGAAATCGTTAGGCTGGGGAAAAAGACTATGTCGAGAGAAATGTAATATCTTTAAATGTTTGAAAACTTGCCATGTGAAAATGGGATAAAACGTATTCCAAGAAGCTCCAAAATGAAGAGTATAACATATGGGATAAATTTACTATGAACCATATTTTAGCTCTAACTAAGAAAGCATTTTCTAATAGCTGTTGAGTCACTCAGCAATGAAAGCAACTTTTCTTGAAGTAGAGTTAGCCACCACTGGATTTGTTTAAACAGAGAATGAGTGATGATTAAAGAGAAGAAATATAAAAATAATTTCTGATCTGAAAGCAAAGTTGTGAAATATTCCCTGTAGACCTTTTCAACTCTAAGAATTGTCTTCCTTCCTTCCTTCCTTCCTTCCTTCCTTCCTTCCTTCCTTCCTTCCTTCCTTCCTTCCTTCCTTCCTTTCATCTTCCTTCCATCCTCCTTTCTTTTCTCCTTCCCTCCCTTCTTTCCATCTTGTCTTTTTTTCTTTATTTCAGAAAATATATTTGAGCACCATATATATACTACACTGTATTACACACAGGGTATTTAATAGTGCACATAGTTTATATATACTATAGTGGATGAGACACAAATTAGCCAAATAATTACAAATCTGTAATAAATGCTATTAACAGAGAGCTGCATTGTGCAAAAGAATTAATAATAGTAATTTGACAGAAGGATTCCCTAAAGAAATAATGATTAAGTGAAACCTATAAAGGAGAACAACTATTTAACAACAATAGGTCGGAGAGAAGAATATCCCGGAGGTTTGAAGACATTGTAGTCCCTAGGAATAATTTGAAAGCAACTGAACTGTTTCAAGTCAGAGGGATTCTGTTCATTGAGAGGTAATACCATGTCATGGTAAAGAACATTAATAATGAAGCTAAATTACTGAGTCAAATCCCAAATTTACTATTCTGTGGTCCTGGTAAGAATCTTTAAATTCTCTGTGACTCAGTTTCTCTTTATCTATGAAATGAGAACAAGTAATTCCACTTACCTTATGGTGAGAATTAAATGAGTTAGAATATATGAAGTGCCTTGAATGGTGCCTCATACATGGTAAATGTTGTGTTTATTATTATTGTAAATATAAATGTGATGTAGTTATAGAAACCTAGATATAGATATCTATATATACCAGATATATAGCATATATGTGAATATACACAAAAGTTTCTTATTGGCACAATGAGTAAAAACGTTTGGAGGGAACCAAGACTAAATGTGAGACCAGTTATGATTTTAATCCTACAGTAACAATCAGAAAAAGCTAAGGTAGTTTGGAGTATAAATTCACTGATGATAGTTGTAGAAATAGAGAGAAATGGACAAAGAGAGAATTAAGAAGTAAGATTGTCAGGATATGGTGATTGATTGCATAGATGAGTGAGAACAAGAAGGGTGTTAATATTTCTGCTTGTAAAATTGAATAGATGGCAGTGTACTTTCTCTGAGAAAAATTAGAATATCATGAGATTGTTTGTAGATGTGGTTAGCTTGAAATTGTTTTGATCCATTTAATAGGAGATCGTATAAGTTGCTGAATAAGGACTAGGGTTAAAAGGAGAGGTCTGGATAGATTTATATAAACAATGTAGGTGAAAAATTCTAGATTCTGTTAATACTTCTAATAATTTTGAAAGAATTCTACATTTAACTCATTTCCTGGTTAGAAAAAAAAGTGCAACTTGCTGCCAGCATTAATTTAATTTTATAGAAACACGCTCTTTGAGGCTGAAGCAAATCTGACTGGCTTTCAATGTGAAGTTGGAGTTATTTCTAAACAAAAATTATCTCTAATCCTAATGTAACAGAAATGTATATATAAATCACATTCAGTGAATGAATCTTTGGCTAACTACTATTTGAGAATGATGTTAACATCACACGTAAGAATACTACATTTTCTAGGATTTGACATTTTCAGTGATCGAGAATCACTATATTTTGTAAATGGAAATACCACTACTAAAAACAGAATGCGATAAATAGAATAATGTTATTTGTTTCCAAAGACTATCGATATACTAGAGTGATACAAAAATAATAATAAAAGTGAGATATTTCATGGCAAACTTTGGGAATAAGGTTAGGATTGTAATCCACAAGTTATCTCAGGGTAAATGCTGCAGCTGCAAACACTCCCTGGAAGGATTCTCAGAGCAAGTGGGAAATGGGTTAAGCCTTTATGCTCCTCTAAGATAGGACTGAAGGAGGAGATGGACTAGGAAAATGGAAGGAAAAATTCTAACAATTGACGAATAAAGCTATGAGAAATAGAATGAGATTTCTATCAGAAAGTTTGTAAAATATGTGCACGAATGTAATATAAAGTCTCTAAAATTTACAAGTAACCTGCTGTTCTCTTTCCTGATGTATAGATTGTGACTACTATCCCAAAAAATCAAGAAAAATAACTAAGAGAAAAGCTTTGCCATTTTTCAAGTATAGGATCTCAATAAATGGTCAATCTCTCATTTTATGTCCATAACTAAAACACAAAACAAAACAAAACATTACTCATGATCTCTCCATATAAATATTATAAATGTAATTCATAGGCAAGGCAAATGATAATGTTAAAAATAATTAACTTTCGGTGGTAAGAACCCTGGAGCAGATAGATTTACTTTGATGTCTCTATACTCTCTTTAAAATTAAAAATAAAATAAATAAAATGAAATAGAACTATTGGTACAGTAGAAAAAAATCTCCAGATGACTTCTTTGATAAAATAGGTGTCAAAAAATCCAAAGAACTCCCAAAATAATTGAATGTAAATGTGTGTGCATTAATAGATAGACAGATGAAAGAATATATAGAGATACTTAAAATTTAAAGTGTTTCAAGAATCGTGCATTGGCCAGAAGGAGTGTAAAGTTTAGTGGTTAAAGTGAGGATTATGTGTCAGGTAAAAGATGAATTTTTCAAAGTTAACCATGAAATATAGGTAAAGAATGTATAACTGTCAAACTAAAACAAGGGAAAAATAGAGTGACAAAGGGTATGTATTGAGTTCAAAAAGAAGCGAGAAGAGAAAGTAAAAAATAAAAATAAAAAATAAAACAAGTACAAAACATATAACAAAACAGTATATTTGAAGACATATATATTGGTAATTGCATGGTACAGTAGTTAGGAATTTGTGCTTTGGCAAGAAAAGATTTAATTTCAAATCTAGTCAGTGCCATTTACCAACTCTTTGATCTTTGGCAAGTGTCTTAACATTTCTAAGCATTGGATCCCCATCTGCAAAATAAGAAACAATAACAACTATCTTACTCAGTTACTGTGAGGATAAAAGAGAGAATCGATGTGCAGTTCTTATTGCTTGACACATAGCAAGTACCTGATAACTGGTAGATAGGAATTTTATTATTAGGAGGGACTCCAATACACACAATTGCACAAATTTTCTCCAGACCAGACCATTTTGCAAAAAAGAACAGAGAAAAATGAGTAGTGGAATGGATCCAAGT